CTGTGTATTAGTCAGGCCTCTTGGTAGTAAGTGACAGAAACCCGATTCTAACTAGCTTAAACATCAGCAGGTTTCTTAATGGGAACATGCTGTGAGGGGTACCCACAGAACTGGAGGGAGACCAGTGGGAGTGGGGATGTTGCTGTTACTCTTGATCTGCACCTCATATCTTGTTTCTCTCTGAGGCTCAGTGTCATGTCAGGATGTTCCACAGAGCTGGGGGCATGGCTGATGACAGCGCTGGGTCATGACTCAAGAATTGAGTGAGCAGGGGACTCTCCCTCCAAACTTTGGCATGAAAAGTTCCAGGGATGGATTCAGACTGGCTCTAGTTCTGACACCTAGTCCCCTAGAACCAATCTCTGTGGCTGGGAAGGTGCTGGTCTGGGATGAGGTATGCATTGGGGAAGACCTTCAGGATGGGAAGCCCCGCCCACAGCCACGCTGTTGGAATGAGGGAGGGAGTGGAGCAGTTTTCCCAAGAAGATGGGAAGAGTGCTGGACATATAACAGCCCAGATGTCCACTATCTCTGCCACTAATTAGATCCGTGACCCTGAACCAGGCTGGGCCTCAGCCTTTCTATTTGTGGAGTGAGACAAGTAGAAGAAGCATCTCTATGATTCTCTCCCAGCCCAAATATATTATGAATTTACTGAAAATCACGTTTTTCTCCTTATTCTTTTTTAACTTGCATGAGAATTAAATATCTCTGTTAAAGACCAGAAAAGCGTGATTCCACACATTAAATAGGAGAGGGAAACAGAACTATTTAAAGAACATCCTGCCTCGGAGGATTTTTAAGAAGGTGAAGCATATTCCTGTTGTTTCACCCCTGAAGCACAGATGGAAATATCTAACCAAACTTTTCCCACAGCACATTTTATCCCCTGAGGAGGGCTCTGATTGTGCCAGAAGGTCCCCGGGGGCTGAGTGCCCAGCGTGGCATTCTGTTGGTACCAGCTGGTCAGGGAAGGCAGCTGTGGATGCCATTTGGCTCCCAGTATTCTCCACCAGTAAGAGTTGGACAAAGTGGTCCTCAAATGCAGCTGCAGCCAGCTCTCTACATAACGGAACCAGCTGACTGACTCCAGGGACCTGCAATCACTCCTCATTGTCATTCTTGTGTAAGGGTAAGGAAGTGTAGCAATTAAAATCTAGTTCATGATTGTAATTAGCAGCCATTAATTTCCGATTTTCCTCAATTGCCAATGCACTTTGCAAAGGGCATAAATTCTTCCCGCAAAACTGTCAAGATCTTGTTTGTTTCTTCTCCTTTTTTTTTGTTCCTTCTCTCGCCTAGTTATATTTTCTTGCTTTGTCTCTTTCTATTGCTGCTAACCATTGATATTTATTAGACTAGCATTTGTTTGTGAATGACGTCAAGGCTTTTGAACCCAGCCAGAAATGAGGGTTGAATCAGGTAGTCTGAGTAACCAGTATGTTGAGCAAGAAGGATAGAAGGATGAAATCAAAATGGAATCTTATTTTGAATGTTGCTTCCTACTATGACCTTAGAACTTATTTGGTAAGGACAGCCTTTCCTTTGCCCCTGGATGAGGACAAGTGAAGTCTGTGTGTGGGGTTCCCTCCATTTGCCTCTCCAGATCCACTCACCAACCAGACTTGTATGCACCACATCAATATGCTATGTGCCCTATGAATGCTGGTTGAACTTGGGCAATGGGGAGCCCCAGCAGGAAACTGGAGGAAGAAATGAGAACAAGGTCAAGGAATTTGATCTCCTGCCTCTCTCCTTGTGAGGTCAACTCAGCTGGCTGCATCCCTTGATGGAAGGGTGATCCCCCCAAGATGGTATGTTCTTCATAGCTCTCTTTCCTTTGGGAGAATGCCTTCCTCACATCTCTGTGGGTCAAGGCTGTTAACATGGGTTCCCTGATCCCTTGAGGATCTCTCCTACATGCTGTCTATACCTTTCTCATTTGACACTTTGTAAAGAAACCCTCCCTGTATTATTGCAATTTGAGTGTACTATCTTAGGGAATAAACAATTATGCAGCTACGTCGGTTGCAGACAGAATCTCAGTGACAGAATGATAGTATCCAGTCCAAGATATTAATCAACACTGCAGTCTTCTCTCCAGGACAAGAATTGTTACCCTCCTCCTCCAGGTGGGACATGTAGGTGTATTCCTCTAGTGGGGGAAGGGTGTGTGGCTGGCCCTACTTTCTTTTTCATCTTACCTGTTCCCTGCTACTTCCATTCCTGGGCTGAAATGGGGGGCAAAAGGGACAAAATGGTTTTCACTTTTCACTTGAATTGGTTCTATCATAACTTGGCCTGGTTATGTACCTGTGGCCTGGCAATAGTTAGAACCAACTCTCTCCTGGCCCCTCAGAAACTCCCTGCACTCTCACCCCCAGCTGCTCACCGAAACCCAGGAAGGTTTGACATTTGGATGCTCACTTCTGGAGAATCTTCATCCTTCCAGGTTATCTTGGGCAGAATCTAAGATTCCAGGTGGGAAGTTTGAACCAGCAAACTCACATCTGGTTGACAACCTATCTGGCTTATCTTTGTTGTGCCACCAAAACAGCTCAACAGCCCGACTCTCTTGCTGGTTACTGTATCCCCAAATACCTGGGAACCTACAGGCCCTGCAAATGGTTCCTCAAAGTCTCCTCTCAGCTGAATTGAAGAAAGTGGGCAGATACCCTCCACCTTCTCTACTGGAGAGAAGTAGAACTCACAGCCCAGCCCGTCTCCAAAGAAATCCTTCTTATGAAGTCATCTTGGTCACCATTTTCTCCAGTCCTTAATATTGTCAAAATGTGGGAGGCAGTTTAGGGCGGGAGGGAATTAATTCTCCAACATCCACTCTGAGGATCCCTCCAGGGGAGGGAGGCAATCTGTCTCACACATGTTCTGGTATGTCATTTTTACCTCATCTTGGAATCTTGGTCAAAATCTCAATTTTAACATACTGTATCAGACCATTACATACACTTTTAGTTGCTAGATAAAACAAAACAGTTCAAACCGTCTTCCACTATAAAGAGGATTTGTTGGCTCACATAACTGAAAGAGTCCAGAGGTTGCGTGCTCAGTTTCTCTGTGATCTCTCGGTTCTGCCCTTCTCCATGTTTTCAAGAGGGCTGCCTGAAGCAATCTGGGTATGTGCTTCTTTGTTCATACCCAGGGAACAAAGAGGACATCTCTTACCTCAACCACTGAGCAAGAGTCTTGAGATTTACTCTGACTGGACAAACTTGCTAACTTAGGTCAAGCCGTTAACTTGAGCCAATCCTTATCACCAGGGGAGCACAATGTGCTGATTGGCTCAAGTCTTGGGTAGGAGCCATCACTGCACAGTGATTATGGAAGAGAGATGGGTTACCCTGATTGGGTTAAACCTCTGGGGATCCATTCTGGGAATTAGGGGTGATGTTAATGGACATGAGGGTTGCACTCAACTTTATGCAGATCTCCCAGCTGTGTAACTAAGAGGAAGGGTTGGAATGGTTGTTCAGGAAGCACCTGCCACCACCCAGTCCAAGGTCATGTTACTCAAGCATCTGATTTTGTCCCCACATAAAATATGGTTTTGTGGGGTTCTATATATTTTATATTCATAATACAAACATACTTGTAGGGTTCATTTTGCACTGGGGCCGACTTCTCCATTAGGCACAGTACCTAGGGCCCATGGTATTTTTATAGCCCATGAAAATGTTTAAATTTCTTTTATTTTTATTTTTTATGTTTTAAAGATTTTATTTATGTATTTGAAAGAGAATGAGAGTGAGCAAGAGAGAGAGCACAAGCAGGGGGAGCGGCAGGCGGAGGGAGAGGGAGAAGCAGACTCCCTGCTGAGCAGGGAGGCGGATGGAGGACTCGATCCCAGAACCCTGGGACCATGACCTGAGCCAAGGGCGGATGCTTAACCGACTGAGCCACCCAGGTGCCCCAATTTCTTTTAAAATCAGAAGAAAAAAAGGAACTTTAAGGCCAAAGAAAATGTTTTAACATACAATATTTATATATTCATCTTTATAGTAATACAGTTGTAAAATATAATTTGTATTATAATTATTATTAATAGGGAAATGGGCCTACTAAGGCAAAAGTGCATGGGTAAGAAACTGAGCAGGCAGCCCCTCTTTGCTTTCCTTCTTTACTGTGATATCTCACCACAGAATTTAATTGTTGACAATAAGAACCCAAGGTCTGAGGCAAGATCATCCCTTTGAATTCCGAGGTTATTACCCATTTACTTAACAGATGTGGGTTGTATCAATGTTGTACGGGAGATGCTACAGTAGTCCAGGGAGGTCAGGCTTTCCTGCACACAAAAAAGAAGGAGGGAAGGCAATTTTCCTCCAGTTGGAGGCTAAGTGACGTGGACACGGCACGTTAGAGTTAAAGCATTTTCAAGCATATCGTCTCACTTGATCCTCGTTGACAATCCCGGGGCAGTACTGACCCATTTAATCCATCAAGAATCAGACACAGGGAAAGCAAATAGCCTTTCCACAGTTTGCTTCATGGTTACCACTTTGTGGCACACCGACCCACTGAACTAGATTTGTTAAGACAGGGCCGAGAAATCTGTTTTAACCAGCTTCCGGTGACTCTTAGGCACGCTAAAATTTGAGGGGCTGTAGCATGGGGGTGGGGTGAGGGAATGAGGCTGAAGAAAGCAGGTGTGTTCCCCAACTCCTCTTCTCTGGGCGGTGTGTGGGGCGGCGTATTCACTTTAGTAACTAAAGGGGCCCAACACCGCTCCCCAAGTTGACTGGCCGCCAGACCTCTAGCAGCTTCAATTTCCTAAAAATGGAAAATCTTGACTCAGACGCAGAGATAAACTGTTGCGGCTCAGCTCGACAAGAAGCATGCGCACTAGCGGGTTGCCCGCTGTTTGTTCTCTTGCAGGCTCCGCCCCTCAGGCCACGGCCCCTTTCCGGCTTCCGCCTCCTCGCCCCGCGCCGCGCAGGCGCAGGCGCAGGCTCAGGCGCGCATTTCCCGTGGCGCTCCGCGGCGCGGGAGATTTGCAGGAATGGCGGGCGCTTGGTCATCTAGTTGTTGCAAAGGATGTTCTTCTACTAGCTGTGCGTGTGGCGGTGACAAGGGCAAGTGGGGCGACTCCTCTCTGTTGGGCAGGCGGCTCTCGGAAGACTCGAGCCGTCACCAACTGCTGCGGAAGTGGGCAAACATGTGGAACTCCGTGAGCGGGGACGCGTCGGTGCCCTGTATAGAGGGGACGCGGCGCGAGGAGGCTGCAGACCCCGCCGAGGAGGAGGACAGGCCGCTGGTGTTTCTGTGCTCCGGCTGCAGGCGGCCGCTGGGCGACTCGCTGAGCTGGGTGACGAGCCAGGAGGACACCAACTGCATCTTGCTGCGCTGTCAGTTGCCGCGCCTGGGTGGGATGTAGGGGCGGGGGTGAGTGGGTGGGGAAGAGCTTGGGGCCGCCTTCTTTCCAGGTGTGCTTCAACTGGACGGCCCGGGAGAAGGGGGGGGGTGTTTTGGGGCTGTCCAGTGTTTTTAAAAGCAGAAAAATCTGAGAAGGTGAGCTGTCCCAGGAAAAGGGAAGGAGGAGGGTCACCCCTGCACCTTGGGCTCACGAGTGATGGGTCCTTTTCTGGGGTTCCCCCAGCCCAGAAGAGCAGCGCTTCAAACGGCATCTTTGTTAACATTGCTCAGTAAAAAATGACCTACTAAACTGTAAGCATTTGGGGTGTTGCCACTCTGTATTACTCCCCACAGAAATTAACTAAGTGTTAATTGTAAATAATATTGTTAATGGTTTATTTAGGAAATTAAGCTGTTCAGTTACCTGATTCCTGCAGGGGGATGTCAGGATTGATTTTTCTTATTAGTTGTGTTAGTGGATGCCTTTATTCTGAAGTGTTAACAACCATAGAGTTGTCAGAACACATTACTATCAATTTTTTTTTAAAAGGAAACTTGTAATAACACCAACAATCTCTTCAAAATTGGAGAGGAAGAGTTAATAGTAAAAACGAGAAGGTGGCTTGAGTTCTAGCTTCTAATACTGGCTCTGCCAGTTACCTGTATGTTTCTCTGCTCTACTCTCATATTGTTGATTTCGTAGTGTTTATTTAGGGGAATGGTTCACATATGTTTTTCTGAATGGGTGTAAAAATGGCTATTCTTTTTGGACTTGCGGTTTTCAAGATCAAGTTTATGCTCTCAATTCTATAAATATTTTGGCAGAAATTCACCAGGGAGATACTGTTAATCCTTCCGATCTGTGTCTGTTTTTTTCTTTAAATGATTATAAGCAGCTTTATTTATTTTTAAAGATTTTATTCACCCATTTGACCGAGAGAGAGACAGCTAGAGCAGGAACACAAGCAGGGGGAGAGGGAGAAGCAGTCCTTCCGCCTAGCAGGAGCCTGAGGCAGGGCTCCATCCCAGGACCTTGGGATCATGACCTGAGCCGAAGGCAGATGCTTAACGACTGAGCCACCCAGGTGCCGCCTGATCTGTGTCTGTTGATAGAGGTCTAGATTGTTTCCAGAGTTGCTGCCATTAGAACAGCATGTACATGGGTTGAGATTTTTGATACTATAGGAGAATCTGTTTTTTTAATTTTATTTATTTATTTATTTTAAAGGTTTTTTTTTTTTTTAAAGATTTTATTTATTTGAGAGAGAGAGCACGAGAGGGAAGAGGGTCAGAGGGAGAAGCAGACTCCCCGCTGAGCAGGGAGCCTGATGTGGGACTCATCTCTTTTTTTTAGTAGGCAAGAAATAGTATGTTTGGTGTTAAATCTTTCATTTTGCTTGTACTTTCTGTTTTTACAGCCTGTTTTCTATCTTTTGCCACATGCTTTTTCTTTTTCCTTTTGTTTTATATATAAAAACACTTCTGTTATTTACTTTTTCTGTATCAGTTTTTAAGTTTTAAAAACTCTCAGCTTTAGACAATTTGATTTACTCCCCCCATTCAGCACTGCTGCCATGAAAGATAACGAAATGAACTCTTGGGTTAATTCTATTCCCTCCTGCCTCAGTTTGAGTTAGTTTGATTATTTTTACTTTGTCAAGGTTTATAACATTTAAGTTCTGTTCTGTAGCCATAGCATGGTCATTGAACCTTAATGTAACATTTGTATGAATTTGTTTTTCAACTCTAGGACTCTTATTAATACAAGAAAGCTTATTAATAGTGTTCTCATTTCTGAGTTGTTTATTTCATTATCATCAGTAGACCCTCCCCACGCCCCCTCCTCAACCCCCAAGAAAACTTCAGTTTTGAGTGGTTGAAAATGTCTTTCTGTTCTCTTTTACATGAATGGCAACTTGACTACATGTACAATTCTGGGATCACGCTCTTTGCTTTTTCCAGGCAGGGAGCAGCTAGTGCAAAGGCCCTGAAGCTAGTATGGACATTTTAGGTGTGATGTCCCTTCTTCATTTCCCTCCATCCCCTATCCCTTCATTTAGTGTATCCTGGACCTGGATCCTCTGGGAATGTTTCCTGCTTCTGGGGTCAACTGTGACCCCATCCAAGTCATGGTCTAAATAGAAGATTTTTGTCCAGGTCCCTGAGAGCTCTGCATTTGAAGCCTGGGGATGTATACACTGGCTTTTAGCATTATTCTTGGGTTTATCCCAATTTTATTATACCTTGCAGGTATTCTTGGTAGTCTGTGATTGAGGTTCTAATTGTTCCAAGTTTTACTGGCAGTTGAATTTTCCCCTCTAATTTTACTCATTTTATTAACATCAGTGATTTTCAGGGAAGAGAAAGAAATAACTCTCATTCTGCCATCTTTTTTCCAGAAGACCTCTGTACATTTAGTTTTGAACCACTTTTGTGTATATGTGACTCTGGGCTCTTATTTTTTCTGGTTCTCCGAGTTCTAAAGTAAAAATTGGGGTGAGCCTGGGTGGCTCAGTTGGTTGAGCGACTGCCTTCGGCTCAGGTCATGATCCTGGAGTCCCGGGATCGAGTCCTGCATCGGGCTCCCTGCTCAGCAGGGAGTCTGCTTCTCCCTCTGACCCTCTTCCCTCTCGTGCTCTCATTCTCTCTCAAATAAATAAATAAAATCTTAAAAAAAAAAAAGTAAAAATTGAATTAGACGTTCTCTAAATATCTGCAGGTGTATTATAGCAAACCACATTAATACATTATTGTTACTTTGCTGTAGGTGTTTCCTGTAATGTTTCTGTGGATAAAGAACAGATACTATCCAAACGTAAAAATGAAAATGGTTGGTGAGTAAGGCTATTATCTGTGTGAATATGTGTATTAGAGAAAATGTTTATTTTTCAACTAAAAATCTTTAATAAGATCATTACCAGTAAGATTAATTGGGATAAAACTTTCTTCGTGGTGATCAGTATAGAATCAGTCATTTTAATGTATCAATTCTTGAGTGATGGTGGTCGTTTTTAGATATTGTGATGAAAGAGTTTCTGAAGTCACATTCTCACACTCTCTTTTGGGTCTTTGGGCTTAGTGCTAAAGCAAATTGAAAATAAAAGTAGAAAAAGAAAATACCTGTATCATAAAATCTCAGCCAAAGTGTGCCTTAGGCCAACGCTACCTACTTTTTTTAATGTCATGTTACACACAGAAAATGCTAGTATCACACTCACACACATGGACATGTGGCCTGTTGAGGTAAACAGACAAGGCTGCATGAGGCCAGAAGCAGCCAGCACGGGGGCTCCGGCAGTCCCAGGCCTGTGCTGCTGCTCCAACAGTTGAAGGGATCACCATCTTGGCGTACCTGCCACCCATTGCTACAAGTGGCATCCTCAGTAAACAGAATGGGAGGCTCTGCCTTATATAATTGTTGCCAAAAATGTGTCTTAACTGATCTGTGAAGTAACTTTATGTGGTATACAGACGACTAAACAGAAATTAATAATCATGTATGTTTTTTTAATGTGTGTTTAAAAATACATTTAAAAATGTGTGTTTTTCATTTTAAAGTAATGCTGGAGTTTCCTTTTCAAATAAAGTGTATTTCAATTTAAAAAAATCACTCTTTTTAAGGAGAATTAACAACAGTACAGGTAGTATGTGTATGTGATGGAAACGGTGCTCCTGGCACGCAGGCGACCTCGGTTTGGAAAACCAGCCTTAGATCATTTCTCCTTCTGTAGATGAAGAAAGTAAGGCCTGGGGAGATTAGAAGTTTGCTAAAACCACAGGACTGTTTAGTAGTTAGAGCGAGGATGGTGCCTGTGTTTCTCCTTCCTTCTTGCAAAGTGTTCTTTCTTCTCTCCTTCCAGTTTTAGTCATTTTAATGCCACTTTCACCAGTTTTGCCATATCCACATACCGGCTTTGCTGTCATCTACTTAATACCTTTCATTACATTGACTCAGGAGTTTTATTTAAATTTATTTAAAAAGGAATATAATATATTACTGCCATATTATTTGCTTGAACTAGAAATTAACCACAATGAAAACAAATGTTATTAAACTCTAGCAGAGATGCTATCACCTGGCTGGTTCTGAGCCTAAAGTCTGTTTTCTCACTGTTAAAAGATTTGCAGCTGTGAGATTCTAGTTAAAGACTTCCTAGCACTGGACTGAGACTTTCTTCTTTTTATAATCAGGATTGATGGGGAACTGAAAAGGGGAATTGACTCTTAACTCTGGGAGCCAGTGTTATTTAGTCCTGTTTCCTTGTGTCACCTGAACCCATCATTTTTGCCACGTAAATTCAAATTCAAGACATTCACTAGGGTCCCATATTCCACACTTGGGGAAATACCGTATTGCCTTGGGATGCTCCTAAGTTTTTGATAGGCCTGACTGAATAGCCACCTGCTGGCAGCCGGCCAGCAAGAGCACGCGTGGGTTTTAGAAATGTGTCGTGAAGGTAGCAGCGCTGTTCCTGGGTTCTTTCTGTCATTCGTTAAGGTTCTTACACACTAACTCATTTCTTGTCGAAAAATCATCCTAGGATTTCCGCACTGCTTTCTCAATATTGTTGTTCAGTGTTAAGGGTGAGTTCTGGCCAAATCCTTGCCAGCGGTGACAACGGAAAGACATTGCAATAATTGTCGCTACTCTCTTCATTGTTTCTCAAGATCACTCTGGAAGTGTGAATGGGTTTGCGTGTATTCGTCAGTGATGTTTACTTTGATTTGGGTAATTTGGGATAAAACAATATTATTTGTTGATCAGTGTTGTATTTGTATCCTTTTTGGTTGATTACACCTGCATTATATGTTAGTTCACAATCTTGGTAATTGTGTATGGCCACTTCATAAAGATTATGAGGTTCGAGATGTAGCATGGACATTTTCCTGTTCACTGTTGGTAGTATGGATAGGGTTCCCTCCTGGGCTTTACTAAGAAATATAAAAAAATATATAAATTTAAAATACTAAAAAAAATGTAAAATATGGTTTTCAATATAAAAGCATATGGAAGCTTAATATATGATCAGTGGCATATTATCTAGCTAATTATATCACCAGTAAGAACTTATAATTTATTAGGCATTTTGTTCTTTGTTCCATTATGTAGCTGCAGTAGTTAAAAAAGTCAGTATCTTTAGGTAAACAATAATGCAGTCTATAATATGTTGGAGTTTTGGTTGGCTCCATTTTTTTTGATAACAGGAATAGCTCTGTAATCATCACAAGTGGCTCAATACCAATAGGAATTATATTATTCTTTTGAAATAATAGCTATCTTTTGTAATGTATATTATCACTAGATTTAGATCTTCAGTTATCAATTTGCTCTGTGTTGGGACTAATTTATTATAGATATTTATAGAATGGAAAATTTGGATAGGTCAACTTGACAAGGCATTTAGGTGACTGGATTCTAAGATTTAAAGAAGACATGAATTGACATTGGTGGGGGAGATTATATTCAAATATGCAGAGCCTGAGTTGAGAAATAACTATAATGAAGGAACAATTATGTGGAGAACTTGGATCATTAAGTAAAATATTTGTGAGTTGCCTGTGTGGAACATATCCGTAGTGGGTAGAAGAGTGTTAGGTCAAAGTATAATTAAAAAGAGAAAGGCAACCCTAACAGATACGTGAAGAGCACACGTCAGAGATTTATTTAACTCATTACCGAGGGAGTCAGAACATGGCAAAGCTGGTTTAGAGAAGGATGCTCTCTGTAGAACATACCTAGTTACTGTCCTATAGGACAATAGAGCCTCAGCCTTTGAGGTTACCTTTTCTACTAGCAGAGAACATTTGTGTCTCTACCAGACTAAAATTATTTATAATTTTACAAATTATCAATCTTATTAATCTTCTTTCTGTAAGTTATCATCTAACTTCAGAGAGTCTGGGCCCTAATCAATAGTAAGTAGTGAGCAACCAATGTTACCTTCCAGTAGAGCAAAGTATGGCCCATGGGCCAAGCACTTATTTTTGTAAATATATTTTTACTGGGACATAGACACGTTGTGTATTCAGTTACATATTGTCTGTGGCTGCTTCTGTGCTATAATAGTGGAGGCAAGTCATTGCAACAGACACCACATGGCCTACAAACCTAAAATATTTGTTCCCTGGATCATTACAGAAAAAATCTGCCTCCCTGCCCCAGAGTGTTAATGATTCTTGGTGGGCTTGTTGGACAATATGACATTAAAAGGGCGTGTGGAATCCCTGTCTTATTTTCAAATTTTAGATAATTTTTCTTAATACCAGATTGAGGCATTTACAGTCTAGAAAAACACCACATCGGTATCTTCTCTTGTCACTTTTCTGTACGTCCCATGTCACTAGGTGCTGAAGGCACTGTAGCCTGGAGGTGACTGTCTACATTTCTAATGTCAACATTTTACTATCATTTTTTTCCTTCTTTATACATATGACTTAGTAGGGTTAGAATAACATATTTTAGCAACTTAAATGTTAAGCGTTTATGGGTTGTAACAAGTTGCTACTTTGTTTGCTAAAGCAATGGCCCTTCTTCCTTGCAGCATTCTGGAGACTCTATCCTGCACAGGATGCTCGCTCAGGCTTGGCTACATATACAGGTGCACACCCAAGAATCTAGATTACAAGAGAGACTTGTTTTGCCTCAGTGTTGAAGCCATTGAAAGGTAAGTGTGCTAAATAAATGGATACCTCATAAATGATTTCTTGGAAAGTTGTTTGCAGAAAACTTGATAATGAAAACATCAGAACTAAATCAACACTATTTGGTTAAAATATATTTTCAAGTAATAATTTCTGACAATAAAGCCAGTGTGATTTTTTGTTTATTTGTTTTGACCTGATGTATTTGGTATTGGAAAATTAGACATTCTAAATTGTAAGGAGAAAGCACTGTGAGAACATTTTTCAGAGTAAAAATAGGTTCAATTTTCCCTAAAAATTGAATTTAGTTTAATAGGATTTTTTAAGCAGTTGTGTGGATCAATATGTGTCATCCATTTTATTACCCACCCCACCCCAGTTTTTAGCCACCTAGAATATCATGAAGAATTAGGAATTTCAAAACTGATTAGGAAGGAAGTCCGTCCCTTTGGTGTTCTAGAAAAGCAGAAATACAAAGTCCAACTATTTTCTTGCATCTGGTAAAGAATCACCTGTTTTTTCTGATGCAAGGAAGTGCCTTCATTCTCCAAGATTTCTATAAAAAGTAAACGTTTGGAAACAAGGCAAATAGGAGGCTGATGACAGATGTCAGTTAAAGAGTTTCAGATAGCTTTTATTTATTTATTTATTATTTTTAAAGATTTGATATATATTTTTTTTTTAAAGATTTTATTTATTTATTTGAGAGAGAGAGAATGAGAGATAGCACGAGAGGGAAGAGGGTCAGAGGGAGAAGCAGACTCCCCGCTGAGCAGGGAGCCCGATGCGGGACTCGATCCCAGGACTCCAGGATCATGACCTGAGCCGAAGGCAGTCGCTTAACCGACTGAGCCACCCAGGCGCCCCAAGATTTGATATATTTTAAAGAGAGAACACATGAACAGGGGGAGGGATAGAGGAAGAGGGAGAAGCAGGCCCCCCACTGAGCAGAGTGCCCGATGCGGGACTCGATCCCAGGACCCTGGGATCATGACCTTAGCAAAAGGCAGACGTTTAACCGACTGAGCCATCCAGGTGCTCAGCAGGAGTTTCAGATATCTTTTTTTTTTTTTTTAAGATTTTATTTATTTATTTGAGAGAGAGAGAGAGTGAGAGACAGAGAGCACGAGAGGGAAGAGGGTCAGAGGGAGAAGCAGACTCCCCGCTGAGCAGGGAGCCCGATGTGGGACTCGATCCCGGGACTCCAGGATCATGACCTGAGCCGAAGGCAGTCGCTTAACCAACTGAGCCACCCAGGCGCCCGAGTTTCAGATATCTTAATGGCCTTCTAATTCATGAGCCTTTTTAAATAGGAAATACAAAATTAAGTGACTCATCTGACCCCAGTGTATTTTCACTTATCCTGCAAAAGATGTAACCCTCAAGACTTTAAAGATGCCTAAAATCCTTATATATCAGGAAAGAAGAACAGTTTAAGAAGAAAAGAATTTTGGGACGCCTGGGTGGCTCAGTTGGTTAAGCAGCTGCCTTCGGCTCAGGTCATGATCCCAGGGTCCTGGGATCAAGTCCCGCATCGGGCTCCCTGCTCAGCAGGAAGCCTGCTTCTCCCTCTGCCTGCCACTCCTCCTGCTTGTGCTCTTTCTCTCTCTCTCTCTGACAAATAAATAAAATCTTTAAGAAAAAGAAGAAAAGAATTTTAATGCCAAGGAACCTGGTTGGTTTTGGAAGTATTTATTTACAGTTTTGGGGTTTTTTGAAAGATTTTATTTTTAAGTAATCTCTATACCCACTGTTGGCTCAAACACATGACCCCAAGATCAAGAGTCGCATGCTCTAAGGACTGAGCCAGCCAGGCACCCCCATTTACAGTTTTGTAAATTACTCAGTGCCCCTTCATTTCCCACCTCATCTCATTTTTCTTTCCTAAACAGGATGTTAATTGACTTCTGCCATTTTGCCTTCCATGCCATTTTTCAGAAATAAAATCACTAAGGCTTCCAAGGAAAGCTTGACCTTACTTGACAAAAGAAGTGACCTCCTGAAGTTGCTACATGTGATGAAGGACTTTGGAAGAAATGCAAATTAATCAAGTTTTCTTTTTGGAGAAATACTAGCCCCTTCTTGTTTCCCATTTAGATTTACTAGGTTACCAACACTGGGCCTGTTTTCCTTGTTTCCAGGCCAATATTTATCTTATCTCATATTTTCTACACCACAGCATCTCCTAACTCCAGAGAGCAGAGCAAAACATAACTTGGAGGATAACTGTTGGTGTTGCCAAATCAAAGTAACTGAGAATTGACTCCATACGTTATTTACTAAAGGTCAAATTTGAAAGTACACATGTTCCCAACAAGTTATAGAAAGCAAAAAAGCAGTGGCTTCTTCAGGATCTTTTAAAACTTTTTAATCATAGAATTTTGAACTATGAGTGTGAATGTTTTGCCACTCGGTTAATTAAAGAGTAAGGTTGTGCCAGTAATGAAGTACTTAGAATATTGGACAATATGTAGGAATGCCTGGACCAAGGTGTTATGGAGAAAAACTCGATTTTTTGTGGTACAACTTCCTGTGTGGTTGCTATTAACAAAAATAGTTATTTTGTGTTCATTTGGTACAAATATGTAGTATAAGATAGAGTTTTAATGTTATTAATTAACATGATTTTCATATTTACCTCCTTTTCATATTTTAACTTTGTACCATGTTATACTGCAGTTATATTTTAGGGTCCTCGGAAAAGCAAATAGTGTCAGAAGATAAAGAACTTTTTAATCTTGAAAGCAGAGTTGAAATAGAAAAGTCTCTAAAGCAGGTAATTCTGTACTTTTTATATCTTTGTATGAACAATTTCCTGTTAGTGAGCAAGTGCTCCTCCACAAATAATCCTCAGAATGGCACTTGTTTTGATCTTCGTACTTTCCTGGTAAGAGAGTGCTGATTTTATTTCAGTTGTTAGTAAAGTTGATTTGGGGGGTTAGCCAAACTACAACTTAAGCTAAAGCTTTATCACAAAAATTATAAGACATTTCATGTCTCATCAAAACCATGTATATTCTAAAACTAGTAAACTATATTTCATTTGATTCAATTCTCATGGTATAAACAACCTGCAAATGTTTTTGAATGTTAACATCTTCTCATGGCCTGATCGGCAACATATCCATGAGTGTATAAAAGAGCTCTACATTAGAGGTTGAGAACTACTGATAATAGAATGCTGCCTTATTGGGGTGCCTGGGTGGCTCCGTCGTTAAGCGTCTGCCTTCGGCTCAGGTTATGATCCCAGGGTCCTGGGACGGAGCCCCGCATCGAGTTCCTTGCTCGGCAAGGAGCCTGCTTCTCCCTCTCCCACTTCCCCCTACTTGTGTTCCCTCTCTAGCTGTCTCTCTGTCTCTCTCTCTGTCAAATAAATAAAATCTAAAAAAAATGCTGCCTTATTTACATAAAATTGAGTTTATGCCTCTAAATAATTTCACGTGTAATGCATAACATTCATAAATTTTATTAATGATACATATTTTAATCATTTAATCATGTGTGATTTTAATCATAATCCTATGTGTATCTGAAAATATTTTTTCAATTCAATAGATGGAAGATGTTTTGAAAGCTTTACAAACGAAGCTGTGGGAGGTTGAATCAAAATTGTCCTTTCCCAGTTGCAAAAGCTGAAATCTCTTCCAAGTGCCCCGCTCTGGACTCCCTGCTGATGGACACTTCTTTCATATGTAGCAATTCTGGTTATCATTTGATTTCACCTAGAATGGAAGGAATTCTCAATGCCCGTATGTATATGTGGTATTCTCTTGTATTGATCAAGTGAGAAGAATTGTAGAATTACTTCTATGATATAGTCAGTGGTAAAGAAATGGTTGTTTCCTGAAGTTGAATTTCAAAGCCATTTTATGATACTTGCTGAAATTGGAATTTAGTAGTTTTTGCTTTGATAAGAAACTGCCATGATTTTCTGAACTGTTATCTCTGTATCGAATTCATTATTCCATTTCCTTTAAAAAAAATTCATTCACCTTTAATACTTTGGGAAATACTTCATATTGAATGGCATGAAAATCTTGGAGGTTTTTCCACCCACTGTGTGATTCAATCTCTCTGAAAACAGAAGCATAAAGCTCTCTGAAGAAACTGGTCCGTTGAATTACTTGTCAGAACTGTTTGAAAACTTGCATAGGAGCAGAATAGCATGTATTCTGGTGGTAGTAGAATTCCACTTGATCTGTTTGTTTACTACTCTGTGCCCCCCAAAATCTGGAGTAATATTTGCCAAAGAGACTAGTAGTCATCTCTGCAGGTGGGATTCTGGGGAATTTTCAGTCTTCTATAATGTGAGGCTTATAGTAAGCATGTGCTATTTTTTAAAATCGGGGGAGAATAAAGATTAAGACAAAGTATTTTAAGATTGATTTTTACAAAACTGAATTGTGGTATTTAACTGAACTCAGAAATCCTGTCATCCCCCTGCATGCTGCTCTGTGACACCTGCAGGAGGAGGGGGTCTCCCCTACCACATTCCGGGCCAGCCTGTTCTGGGGCCACCTGTTTCCCCAAGGCCTGGGAAGCCTGGCTTTTCTGGCTTTGCATGAGGTCTCATCAGAATGCTACTTTTAAAACTCATCCTGTATATCCACATCCTAAAACCTACAAGACTTGAGGCAGTGGGTTCTTGTTTCTATTCCTTGTAACTGAAAAACAGTGTGCTCTTGTTTCTGATTATCAAGTTCTGGTAAAGCACAGCTTGTGAGCAGGAGTGAGGGTGCTGGAGCAAGAAACGGACCTTCCAGTCCAAATTGCATAAGACCCAGCAAAGAAAAGAGCCTTCAGGCAGATCTACCCAGAAATTATTCCTTCAGCTATCCCCATAAAGGACACTCCCCAGTTCTTTAGGGAGAAGCTATGGAAACTGATGCCAGAACCCATTACATGGCCTTTCTAGGCTCTTCTAACTATGTAGGTATAGAACATTATATAGAGTTTCATCCCAGAGTGTGGGTTCTGTTGTTCTCAGCAAATGCTCGCATCATGTTTATAAATTTCCAAGCTAAAGAGCCCACTGAGGTCATTGCTCTGTGTAGCATCAATGCTTGGATGGAATGCACCCTACCTGGGTGATTCTAGTCAAGCTCTGGACATTTAAATGGGCAAAATCAGGAGAATGTCTCCTTGAAGAACTGGGTCTAGGCATTTAGTGGGAAATTCTTGAACAGAGAAGCTGTGAGTGAAACATCCCTCAGCTTGTTTTTGAGGGATGGTCCCACAGATAGCATAAATCCTGGATCAGGATCCCAGTTTAACTGCCTTCTTTAGCCATGTGACCTTGAGCAAATTATTTAATCATTTTTTTTAAAAGATTTTATTTATTTATTTGAGAGAGAGCACATGAGAGGGGGGAGGGTCAGAGGGAGAAGCAAACTCCCTGCTGAGCAGGGAGCCCGATGCGGGACTTGATCCCGGGACTCCAGGATCATGACCTGAGCCGAAGGCAGTTGCTTAACCAACTGAGCCACTCAGGCGCCCGAATTATTTAATCATTTTAAGCCTCTGTTTCCTCATCTGTAAAATGAGGATATAATAACCTTCACTTGAATCACAGATTATCAAATTAGATAATGCTTATGAGAGTACTTTGAAAACAGTAAAGCATCACAAAAATCAAATGACAATGATTTAGCCTTGTTTAAAATAGAGTTGATCTGATTCACCCTCCTACCTAGTATAGCCATAACATTCCATCCATTCTAGGGATGTAGGGCTCCTGGGTGGCTGGATGGAGTCCCGCATCGGGCTCCCTGCTCAGCAGGGGGTCTGCTTCTCCCTCTGACCCTCCCCCCTCTCATGCTCTCTATCTCTCATTCTCTCTCTCTCTCTCAAATAAATAAAATCTTTAAAAAAAAAAATATTCTAGGGATGTAAAGGGAGAAATCTGAAACACCATAATAAAAATACATATATTACCATTTTTTGAATTTACTTCTTTCTCCAATTACCAATACAACATATGAACATTGTAGAAATTTTGAAAAATAGAAGAATGGCACAAAGAAGAAAATAAAGCACAAAATCTCACAACTAAAAGAATTATTCACTTTTTGGGGTATATCTTTTAGTCATTTTTATATGTAAATTTGGAACCATACCAAACATACTGTTTTTACTTAAACTACTTCATAACTATGTTTCTGCATTATTAAATATCTTTTATAACCTGATTTTTAGTGACTACCTATTTTTAAGGAAACATTTGTTTTAAAACCTGTTTCAGTGTAATCATATGGTATGAAATGCACACTTTTTAGTGGCTTAACAGCTGAGTTTACTTGTCAAGTAAGAGGTAAGGCGTGAGAGAAATCTTAAACGAGTTACCTCTGTCTGGCTCCAGGGCATGCAGGAGCTGAGAGCCAGCTGTTAAATTGTCAGGAATTTTGTGAGCTGGTTGTTAAACTGTTGGTAGCTTCGAGTTGGCCATGGCTGGGAGTGTTAATACCTGAAAAATCAGCACGTGCTGAAGAACCTGAAATACACCCCCCCACACACACACCAGCTGGTTTCCCAGGACATTACTGTGTATTTTGAATCTCCCTCCATACTGTTTGACTTAAAGTTTAAGAGAAAGAAAATGGTTTCTCTTTTCATCACCCAGAAGACTCCATCCTAACATCTTTTTATTTAATAAATCTAAAATGAAACACTGTATTCTTAAGACTTTAGTGATTACAGCCACATTCTTCACCATCTGGAGAAAAAGCAGAGGTACCTGAAAGCTAATGACTTAAAATTTTGTCTAAATAGTCAATGTTTTATATATATATATATATATATAGTTGTTGTTGTTCTTCCTGAATAAGATAAATAGGTGGGCAGTTGCGTGCCTGTGAACAAGCAGAGAAAGCTCCTTTGCAATTGCTTTGAACTGAGGGAAGATCATTTATTCTTTGATCTAACCCAGACTTGTTTTGGGTACTGATCATTAATTTTGTTTAATAAGAGCCAAATTCCACCTATCTGGCGGAGGTTTATCTAGGCAGGTGATCACGGTGGCATGCAGTCAAGGTCAATCTATATAAGTGTAGTCTCCAGAATGTGTACACTTGTCTAAATTCTTGTGATAATAACTAGACGGCAGCATGAAGTGAGGGGTCAGAGGAGTGACGTCCCACATGTGATTTGAACTAGAACTAGCCTCATTTCATTCAAGTCAGCTCTGATTGACCTCTGCTAGCTTGACAAAATTAAATTAAGCCTAATTTTCTCCCCCCTAAACAATTACCACCATGGTTTTCAATATCCTCCATCTGACTTTAAGGCAGAGAGATGGACAAGCTCCCCTCAAGGTCCCTTTCAGCCTCCTAGTTCATGTGAGCTGAAAAGGGAGATGAGAAATAATTCAAAGGGGGGAAATGAGAATCCCTGAGCTAACTTTGCAGACTTGAGTTCTCTTCCCCACACACACTGTCACCTTCACGTGCCGCCCACTGACCGCACTACTGTTACCAGGAGCTGTGGGCTTAGAATTCTAGAGGCTTCCCGAGAGTAACAGAAAATCTGGAAAAGTAGGGTGCAAGTTTGACTGAGTAACATTTTCCAG